CCTTGCTGGTGGACGTTTAGATCGTTGCCAGTTTTCGCTACTACAGACGTGGCTCCTGTGGCCAACCTTTGACTTGCTTCTCTGTGCACTTGCCGGAAGATGTCTTTAAATCTAGATCCCAGGATCCTGAATTGCTGGGTGACAAACGATTGCTCGGAACTCTTCCAGCTTTTAACAATGTCTCTGAGTCTATTAAAGACACTTAACCTTCTTTTAATTTTTCAAAGCACCTTTGTAACCACTCTAGGATTTGATGTTAGCAGCAACCTTTGGAGCCGGGAGGACTGGTATTTCCGTTTTATGGATAAAATGACAGCTAACACTCAGAGACTCTTACTCTGTGCTGGGCCTGTTGTGAGCACTTCGCATAGATTAACCGCTGCAGCCTCACAAGAGCCCCCCCAGGTGGGGCCTCCACGTGATGCTCATTTGCAAGGGACAAAACAGGCCCGCGGTCAAGAGCAGATAAGTGGCAAAGCCAGGACTGAGTCCAAGAAATCCAGCTTCGGACTCCCAGATCTTGACCGTTTGTTCTCCGGCCTCTCGGTCTTCCAGCCCATAAAGTGGAATGGTGCAGCTGGGTTACAGGTCCAGGTTTCCTCTCTCTGGATTCATGCTCCCCCCAGCGCCCCACTTAGCCGTTCTTCCCACCTGAGTTCCCCAGGAGCGGAATCTGCCCCCAATAAGGATTGAAGGAGCTCGGCCCTCGCTGGCCTGGCCCAGAGCCTGTTGCAGGTCAGGTGCTCAGAGAGCAAACAGTGAATGCTTTTGTGGCTTTTTTATAGACTCCGCCTATAGCTGGTTTCAGCCCCACCACACCCACTCACACACGCGCACGCTGTGTCTGCGGAGTGCTTTTTTGGGAGACATCAGCAGTGTCCTCTTGTCCTGCCAGCTAAGGCCCAGGCCCTTCCCAGCAACAGTGGCCCAGGGGTGTTGGGAGGGGAGCTTCTGGTGCCCAGGACCTCCCGATGGCCCTGTGATTCCCCATCAGAGGTCCAGGGACCTTCAGCTCAGGACTCCAGCTGGAGAGCATCCTTTGAGGAGGGGAGAGGTGGCCAGGAAGGTGCCGGTCCTGTGCCTGAGGGAGGAGGAGTGCCGAGTGTCTGGAGAAATGGCTGACTTTATAGTCTCCAAGTGGGGCTTGTAGTTTGTTCCTTTTCATGGCTGTGTAGTATTCCACTGCATGTTAGTACCAACGTCTGTCTATTCATTCTACTATTGATGGGCATTTGGGTTGTTTCCATTTTGGGGCTGTTATGAATAAAGCTGCCATGAACATTTTTGTACATGTCTTGTGCTATACATATTCTCACTTACCTTTTCCACTTTGCAGTATGTCTCAATCTTTTAAATGGCCACACAGTGTCTGGTTTTACTGTGGTTTGTTGACCCATCCTCCTCCTGATGAGCATGTCCACGCATACCTGTTGGGGATACACCCAGGATGCAACTGCTGATTCATAGAGTGTGTGTATCAGCTTTAGTAGGCACTGCCAGACAGTGTCTCAAAGTAGCACTCCCACAACAATGTGTGAGCATTCCCGTTGCCCCACCTTCTCTCCAGCACTTGGCATCGTCACTCCTTCTCATTTTAGCCATTCCAGTGAGGATGCGTGCTCCTTCTTTCCAACACTGCCTCCTCACCCCACCCCAGCTGGCTTCCCTGCATCTCCCAGCCTCATGGCCTGGTAGGCCCCAGCAGGCACAAGGAGGAAGCTGAGTGGTCTCAGGGACTGAACTGATACCCCAGGCCCCCCAGGAGGAAAAGATCCTATTTCGTGGCTGTTTGTGATTTCCTACTGTACTTAATTTATACACACAATGTTGTCAGAGAGGTGGGATCTAGAAAACAGTGTACCCATTTTGTGGATGAGGAAATGGAGGCTCAGAAAGGTTAATGTCACTTCAGAAGTCGTAAGCCCTGTGCCGCGATGGAACGTAACCGTTCAAGCTCAGCTCTTTTACTCTCCGGGCCCCCCGTCGGCCCGTCCGTGTTGCTCATTAAAGTTCCTTTCCCTCCGGCGTGTCTCATCCACAGACACAGGCGCGCCTGCCCTGTGAGTCTTTCCTCTCTGACTGCCCCTCCCTGGTCTCCTTGGCTGACTCTGCTGCTCCGTGCAGGCTCTACGTGTGGAGACCCTGAGACTCTTGTTGCCCCGTTAGAGGAAAGTCCAGCCTCCTTCCTCGCCCCCAAGGCCTTTGTGGTCCAGGCTTGCTCCCAGCTCAAGCTCATATCGCACCCTTGGCCCCTGAGCATCAGCTGCCAGCATTGCCCTTCAGCTCCCCACATGCATGGTCTCTTCCCCCGGGCCTTTGCACTCGCTGGCCCCTGCCTGGAGCGCTGATCCTCCTCACCTGGCCTCCCCTTCCTCCTTCAGGCCTCAGTATAAACAACCTTGCTCTGAGAGGCCTTCCTGCCCCTGCAGTGTACCTGGGGTCTCCCTCATCATTCTTTCTCAGCCCCTGTTGCATCTGTCACGTCACTCCTCATGGTCTGTAATGACACATGTATCTGATGTCTGAGAGCAGAATTGTATTTCATTTATTGACCATCATGACCCTGGTGTCGGGTATACAGCAGGTGCTCAATAAACACTTCATGAATGAATGTTGTGTGTGTGTGGACACAAAGAGATGTGAGGGTACTCCCAGCTGGTGGCCCTGTCTCCAAGAAAGTATGCTCCATGGTGACACATTCTGGTGACCCTTAAGGGAGCTGCCAAGTCTCGTCCTCAATGGGAAGGCAGCATGGCATCATGGAGAGGACATGGGATTTGGGGTAGGAAACCTGGGTTTGAGTCCCATCTCTGCCAGTGCCTGGCTGTGCGACTTAGAGCAGATCTGTCTCTGGGCCTCAGTTTTCCACATCTGTGTAATGGGACTGATGTCAACAACAACAATAATAATAGCCTTTTCCAGTGATTGGGAATGAGAAGGAAATAGGGTCAAGGACGTCAAGCAGTTTATCCTTACTGGGCTTCGCAGGAGCCAGCTGTGCTTTGGGAACGTGGAGGGGAATCAGTCCCTGTTCTGTCAGCCAGCCCGGAGCGTCTGCCACGTGTGAAGCGCTAGAATACAGAGACAATTGAGGCAGGATGCTGCCCTCCAGGACCGGCCTGCGTCTGTGCCTATCACATAAAGTTTCCCGCTCTTCAAGGGCGGGGCCCGGGTCTTATCTGAGTTTGTGGCCCCGGCAGCATCGCCCACCGTCCTAGACACACACCACGGGTGCTCGTTCATGGTGGTGACCACCTCCTTGGGAATATCCAGGACAGGAGGGGAGGCCAGCGGACAAGGTTCAGATGGATAGCAACTTGGGGAAGAATTTCCCTTCTAGGGAAAACAGCTGAGGAATCGCCACGTGGTTTCTCTTCTCGGGGCCTGGTGGATCTGGCCACGTGTCCTCTGAGTCCGGGGGGAGGGAAACGGGAGATGCTTCTCTCTCGTTAGTCTGGTTGAGCCTGGCCGCCACCACCCCAGCCCAGGCCTCCTGGGGGCAGGGGTTAGCTGTCAGCCCTAGCGCCGGTGGGAGGCTGAATAATGGCCGCAGCATGTCAGGTCCTCATCCCGGGACCTGTGGCTGTTACCTTATAGGGTAAAATCTTTACAGATGTGATTTAATTCAGGCTCTTGAGATGGGGCGGTTATCCCAGATTGTCTGGGTGGGCCCTAGACGCCATTACAAGTGTCGTTATAAGAGGGAGGCAGAGAGAGCTTTGACACAGACAGAAGAGAAGGTGATGGGACCATGGAGGCAGAGACTGGAGGGATGCGGCCACAAGCCAGGGAATGCCAGCAGCCACCAGAAACTGGGAGAGGCAAGGAACAAATTCTCCCCTAGAGCCTCCCAAGGCAGCACACAGCCTTGGCGACATCTTGATTTTGGACTGATTTTAAGCTTCTGGCTTCCGGAACTATGAGAAAATAAATTTCTGTTGTTTTAAGCCACCACATTTTGTTGCGCACTTGTTACAGCAGCCACATGAAACCAATACAGCACCCATTCTCAGAGCTCGTTGATTCACCAGATCCCTTAGCAAGCACCTACTGTGTGCCAGGCTCTGTGAGCCCAGGGGACACAACGGTGAGCAGGCCAGGCAGGGCCTTGCCTCCTGGGGCTGACAGTATACTTGGGGGGCAAGGGTCAGGGGAACAGACAAAAACATGTAAGTGGCAGACCACACCATTTGAGCGCCTGCTGTATGCCAGGCATCGTCTTCAGTTTTGTGTGTATTAACTGATCAATGCTCACAATGGCCCTGTGGGGTAGGTACTGTGATCAGTCCCGTTCTGTAGATGTGGAAACTGAGGCACAGGGAGGCTAGCCCGAAGCCAAGCAGCTACTAAAGGGAGAGCCAGTGTGGGCTCCAGAGCCCCCTCTGAACCACTTCACAGGATCTTCCTTCCTCGGGTGGAAGAATGTACCGGACACTTGGTGATTGTAAAAAGCGCTGTGTGGGTCACAAACGTGGTGGTGGGAGGGCGGTCACAGAAAGAAAGGCCTCTGTGAGGAGGCGACATCTGAGCTGAGGCCTGAGAACCGAGGGGAGCCAGCCGCGGGAGGCTGGAAGCAAGGCAACTGCAGGCGCCGGCAAAGCAACGCAGATGCCCCGCGGGGGGGCGAGCTCGGAGGGGCCGGTGGCACATGCCCCGCGGGGGGGCGAGCTCGGAGGGGCCGGTGGCA